CTTTTATTTGCTAGCCATAAGTTGATGGTAAGTTATAAGTCATTAAAGACAATTTTGCGGTAAGGCATATGACGCCTAAGGATCATAACAAAGAAAAAAGATCATTTGTCTAAAAATGTTGGGAGAATTGAGCATTACTAAGAAGTGAGATAGTAGAAATTGTATCACAGAGAATACTTTGCTGCAAAAAGTAATTTATAATGACCATCCATGATAACATAAAAGTGGTAATGGGACAACTGGCTGCTCCATGGATCCAATAATTTATATTGAATATAGGAGATATCAATGATACAAGTCACAATCAAGGACTTGAAGAGTAGGGGGAAGCCTTTTTCCAAGCATCTATTTAATAAGAAATTCTCAATTAACATAGTCAAAGGCTTTTTTAGCTCAAGTTTGGCATATGAAAAATTAGAACATAAGGTAATGTTAAATGAATCAAGGATTTCATTTGCATGAATAATATAATAAAAAAAATTTATAGTATAAATAAAACCATCCAAGCTTTTAGAAATAATATGTTGCAATACATCTTTAAATTTATTGTCAAGAAACTTAGATAGAACTTTATCTAAATTGTTGAAAAAATAGACCTCTGGTTAGATATGGGGTCACCATAAGAAGAACTGAGAATCTGCATAATAATCTTGACCTTTGACTATATCAAAAAGCTTTTAGTAATAAAGAATTATTTAATAGACCCACACACTCACTATTTAATAGATTTCTAAAATTAGGAAAGAAATCAAAGTTAAAACATTTGTATTTGGGGTAGAGTTTTTTAGGAGATATGAATATTTTATTTTTCATGTCTTTATTTGAGATATAAATGGAGAGATTAGCAAGAAGGTGAACCTAAATCTTGTTATTGATAAAAATAGAGTTGAAACTTTGCCCAACATTAACATATTTAGAGAAAATCTCTTTAAAGATGTTAACATTAATGTTTATAATGTAAGAATGAGTGGTGATGCCCCATTTATAATGGAAAACCCTTTTATAAGATTTTTAGTCTTATTATATATGATCTTACTCAAGTGGGGTTTAGATCATCTTCACCAATGGATAATCACTTGGACTTATATGTTGTGAAAGTTAAGAGGGATAACAGTTTGATAAGTTATGCACCATGTTGATATTTTTTTCAGTAAAGTTTTAAACTTTGGATTTGCAAGGTTGGCATTAATGATAATAAAATTTTCTTTTTGAACTTTTATAGACTTAAAGAAATTGAAGAGGAAACTATCAAAATTCCATTAATTTGGCATCCTTAAGCATTTTTTCAAATGTACTAAGAGAAAATATATGTCGTCTACCTTGATAAGATAAGCTTATACTTTTTGTGAAATAGGGAAAAAATCAAGAATATACAATCATAAACTCTTATATAAGATTTTATGTCTATGGGAGTTAGGGTAGTAGTTATTGTGATTGAGGAATGGTTTAAGTGGTGAGGGGAAGACACATCATAAAAGTAAAAAAAAAAAAAAAAGGATAGTGACCCAAACTAAGGGTTTTTGACAATAACTCTTTCAAAATATATTTTATATGAGATAATCAAATCTAAAATTATACCTATTAAAAAATTAGCGAATAAAATCCAAGTCAATTAGACTTACTTTGTAAACACGATCATTAAAGTCTTCTGGCTTAATGAGATTAATTAGATTACCAACAAATTAGTGGCATAAGAAATTGTGATGTGAAAGGAAGAAGATGGACCACGAAAAATGTAATCTCAAATGAATTGCTTCCCAATAATGAGTGTTTAAAAAGAGAGCTAATAAGCATTTCATTTGAAACACAATGAGAAATTACTGCATTTTTCTTCAAAACGAAGAGAAGTTGACGAGAGTTAATTAATAAAAGCACTAAGAAGAAGTGGGGCTTTAATTTTTGTTTCAATAATATAAATGAGTTTAGAATTTAAAAAGAGGTAAAGTTTTTTGTAATGGAGGACCCTATCCAATATTTGAAAGACTAAAATTTCCAAAAAAATATCAATGGAAAAAACATGATTTATTTTTGTTCTTATGTTGGCAATAGGCTCTTTATTTTTTTATTTCTGGGGTTTTTAGCTATTAGGGATGTTTTGAATATAGAAATGGAGAGAAGTTTCTTGCAAGTTTTTGCGAGGAAGAGCCAATATAGAATGTGACCCATAAGAGTAGCTAAGGTTAATTAGAGATGTTGATATGAGGTTGTTTGGAAGCAAAAAAGTAGGGTAAGTAGGAAGTCCTTACTTAGGGGAGAAGGCATAGTTGTTGAAATAGATTTTTAGATTTGGATGCAATGGCAGCACCATGGAAGGTTCTTCAAAGAGGGGAACAAACCTTTGGTCATAATCATGTCAGTTAAAAGGGTGATTGTGGAATATAGTTGGTTTAGCAAAATAAAAGTGGGGGGAATGAGTGTGGAAGATAAAACTGTCATAAGGAATGAGTTACCTATCATATAGAATCCTAAGAAGATGTACCTTTCTTTTAATAATGCTTTGAACATCATACGGCAAGGAATTTCCATTAGCAACTTTAACATTATGTAAGAGAAAGGTTATTATAATTTATTTAATAAATATAACAGAATCCATCACAAGAGGACTTCTAATTTTTTTTTAAAATCTTGTAAAATTGAGATAGGTTTCAACAACAAAGGTGCAAGTTGAATGTATAGTGTTATAAATGGATGGATGACAAATCCTTTTTAACAGGCTTAAAATTTGTGAATACTTCTTTATAATGAATTTTTTTTCAGTGAAAAAGGCTTCTTTGCATGAAAATTTGATGAGCAAAAATAAATAATTGAAGGAAATATGTTATTGATTACTTTTAAGCATCCATATCTTCTTAATATTTTCTAGTAATAAAAAATAAAAGCCTCTTACTTATAAAGAAGACAATGTGGTGAGTTCCCACTATTTGGGAGTTCATCTTGAGAAAAGAGCAATTGCTTGATCATAGTCGAGAACAAGCTTGAGTTGAAAATCTTTGAAAGTAGCTTTTGGGAGGTGAGAAAGTCAAACAAAAGATAGCAAAAGAGTTTTGGATGGATCTATTAATGTTACCAACTAGAAGGAGCTCATGTAAAGAAGAGTAAAAAACCTTATTGAAAAGACTCCAAAGAGGAGGGTGTGAAGATGTTTTCTAGGAAGCAAGGACATTGGCTAGGTGGGAGTACAAAAGAGGAGAAAGTACAAACAATCATGGAGTAAAAGCCTTAACAACACTTAGAAGGTCTCATATCTATATTAGAATAAGTTTATATCCTCTATTTTCCCTTGGCTACATGCCATAGTTTATGATCCTCGCCTAAACGCATTCAACAAAAAATTGGAGCAGAATATATAGAAAATAGAGAGAAAAATGCATTGGCTCTTTTTAGATGCTATTTGAGGTAATTTCTTTTAATAACATATTTATTTAATGTATTGTTAAAATTATTTATCTTTTACTTCAAAACAAGTCAATTTTTATTATAATTACTAAAAAAGTTGAAGTATTTTTTAAAATAATTACCACCCTCAGCTACTACCTTCGTCGTCATGGAATGCTGGTGCCAACCTTTCACTACATGCAACTAATGTCTGATGTCATTGATGCATAAATATATAAAAATAATATATTTTTAAGATATCAAATAAAACTTATCCTGTATCAAGATATAAAAAAGTTAATTTAAAAAAATGACACCAAAGAGCTTCACAGCTTTTCTCTTATATATTTTTTCTTCCTCCTTTTTTAAATCTATGTGACGTATGTACGAGTCACATTATTACTTTTATTTGTTCAAATTCTATGAAGCACGTGATGTCATTGATGCATAAATATATAAAAATAATATTTTTTTAAGATATCAAATAAAACTTATCATGTATCAAGATATAAAAAAGTTAATTTAAAAAAAGGACACCAAAGAGCTTCATAGCTTTTCTCTTATATATTTTTTCTTCCTCCTTGTTTAAATCTATGTGACGTATGTACGAGTCACATTTTTATTTTTATTTGTTCAAATTCTATGAAGCACAGATATAAATACGGTGACACAGACACGAAACAACACAAGACATAAATACGGTGACACGAACACAAGACAACACAATACGTGGGCAAGACTTATCTGAAAAAGAAATAAGGCACCACACTTCATGGACAATTTTTAAAATTTAATTAATTAATAATCTAAAATATGTATTTTCCATTATTCGTTATTAAATACATTACAAAATAAAATATTAAAAAATAAAATTTAAATTTATAAATTTTACTTGTATTATGAAACATCATGCTTATAAAAATTAATTTTTAAAATTAACATATAACATGTTTCAAAAGAATTTTTCCAACCTATCTACTAAAATTTAAAATGTCCTACCATTACACCTTGCTTAATTTATGAAGTTAAAATTTAACTTTTAAAATTAGAATAAGGATAGATTTATAAATTTTAATTCACTAAAGAGAAAGAAGTTATTAATTACAAAACTAGGGCGGCTTCGACTTCTTTTCTTTGACAAATAGAAGCTTCGATGCAAGTGTTGCAAAGTTGACGAAGTACTTGAATCGGCTTTACCAAATATATTTCACTCTTGCTCAGGTTGCGATGAAGAAATTTATGACTTTCGCTAAAGTGGGTGTGAGTTTGGCTTTGTGAACAAAAGAGAACTATAACACTTAGCTTAGACAAATGCAAGATAGACCTTTGACACTCGACTTCAACAAACAAATAAGGCACTACAGACGCTCGACTTCAACAAATATTAGATGCAGTCCGATGCTCGATTTTGTCGAATGTTAGAAGTTTATTTGACATGACTAGAGGCATCAGGCTTGGACTTCGAGGTATAAATAGAATTATATGCATATTTATAATTTTCTACTTTCGCTGTCTAATTTTTTTTTCAAATTGTGTTGAGCTCATGTCTAATATGAAGTAGAGACGTGTTCCTAGAAAAATTCAGAGTCGGTGGTGCTGCACGTACATTACAGTGCAACGATTCCTCCAAAATGAGCGCTCGATTTGAGATCTAAACAATAACATGTAAATCATGGCGTTTGGTGGCCAATTTTAGTAAATGGCATATTTAGTAAATGAACGGGGAAAGAAAGAGAGAGAAAGCGAGAGAGATCTTGTTTGGTTAATTTATTCAACATACCATGTGATTCCCTCTTGAAATCTGCCACTAAAGTCCACAGTTTGGGAGAGTAAATGCTTCACAACAGAAAGAGGTACTGTCCTTGTTTAACCAACCACTGCAGCTTTGAATTCTACTTAGAGCTGTTCAAAGCAACCCAACTAAACTATTGCCTGCCATCCATCTAAATCTATCTCTTTCCCCTCACTCTTCCATCCATTAAAGCGAACAGAAAGCAAGTTACAGTCTTTTAAAAGTGAAGGACATGTGCAGCAAAAGTTAGCTAGTGGAGGCTTTACTAGTTTATCTTCATCTCATTATCAAGAGCTCTGGAGTGTGTGTGAGCTTCTTTGTAAGCTAAAAGCATGGGAAGATCTGCCACTTCTCTCTTCTTCTTCCTTCTCCTACTTGTCTCCTGTGCTGTATTGGCTGCTTCCGAGGTAGTCTAACAACCCTCTAAATATTTCAGCTTTTTGTTACTTTAAGCTAAAATTTTTTGTATTTCATTCTGTCAGTACATCCTAAATGGAGAACTTGAGTTGAGTTTGGTTGTGAAAAAGGCAAGTAAATATGACCAGAAATTTGTACTAGTGAGGAAATTGGCCTAATCTTACAGCTTAATGATATACTTACGAAGTGCTTGTTTATTTGCAGCAGAAGCACAAGCATTCTGGGTTCAGTGCAGCAGGTTTTTCATAGCCTTCTATTTGCGTATTTTTGGCTTGTTATTCTCTTTTCCCATCAATATTAGTTTGTCTTCTTCATCCATTTAGTCAGCATAGTAAAAGCAAAAAAAATTTATTTTTTTTTATGATATTTGCATATTTTTCCTCAACTTTTTCAAAAATGTAGGATGATTTTTGCATCAAAAACAATTTAGGAATTAAGGAAACCCTTTTGAGATGGAAATTAAGCTTTTATTTGATTACTGATAAGCTTATTGTTGTTTTTGTTAGTAAATTGCTAACTATCATACCTATTTTCCTGTAATAATTATTAATTTTGCACACATTGCTGATTCTTATGAGAAAATAATGACATTTGAGATCTGTAGCTGGAAATCTTATAGAATTAAGTTAATATAAGATTTAATTGAGAAGATGAATCTTATTTCACCATGCTAGAGCAGTCAAGCCAGCTCCAACACAAGCATATGATAATGGTTCATTCATTTGATCAAAGAATAGAGCCATTTCTAGGTCCTACAAAAATTTTTCAAGATATTTTTTTTAATGATAGACTCTTTGCAAGAGGTCATATTAGTTCGAAAGTTTATAAAATGTCAATTTAATCCCCAGATTCTGTTTATATGAACTGAAATAGTCTTCACGAGGCCAATTCAGCCCCAATTTAAAGAGTATAGGAATAATTTGTACAAAAATGATCCCATATAAAGAGTCAAGAGACTATTTTGACACTTTGCTCTCTGTTTTTTTTCTTAAATAGAGAGTTCTTTGCCTTGAAAAATGTTTTCATCCATCCCACTAACTGTTAAGGCTGCCTTCAGAATGCTTAAAAAAAAAATACAAAAAACTGAACTGTTCATCATCATAGAAGAGCTGCATTGTCAAATTCAAACAAAGTTTAGCTTCTATATTTTTGTATAGCTTGATAATTCCCACATATGGGTTGCAAAATAGAATATATCAATTTAATGAATTTTTTTTTTTTAATCTATGAATCAAAGAGTGCCCAGGTGCATGCCAGTACAGGTGTTCCAAAACATCATACAAGAAGCCCTGCCTATTCTTCTGCCAGAAGTGCTGCTTCAAGTGCAGATGTGTTCCTCCTGGGACTTATGCTCACAAGGAGGTCTGTCCCTGCTACAATAACTGGAAGACTAAGAGTGGGAGTCCAAAATGCCCTTGATTAACCTCAAACTTTAATTCTAAATGTTCTGTGCTCTATTAAGAATGATTCAGCTCATATGAACTGTATTAACAAAACTTGGGTCTATTTTACTCAGTTTTTTTGAGTTGTCGTTGAAGCATTTGTTAGCTGTTGTAGAAAACAGCTGCTACTTTGAAAAGATTTGTTTGGTTTCCTTGTTTTCATGCTTTACCGTTTTTTTATTTATGTACATATCACAAAGTTTTTATATATTTACATAATCAGCACCTAAATCTTTTGTTTATTATAAGTAAATATAAGGATTTAGATTTTAGATGTATAAACACGTAAGAATGTTTTGTTTTGAATGTAAATTCCGCAGGATCAAACTAATTTTTATTTATGAGATAAATATGTTTCAAAGCTAGGAACTTGCACATATATTTTCTCTATGATGTCATGTGTAAAGGGATTTACTTGTGAAATAGTTTATAGCATTTTGTGAGAGTATGATGATTTTATTTCATATAACAGATAAAAGTATGGCATTAATACTAGGGAACTTTGCATACACACCACACAATTTACATATCTAACCCCCAATGTTTGATATTTGCAATTATGACACCTTGGTGTCATAGATCTATGTGTGAAGATTTGTATTTTACTTGTAAAATGGTATTTCACTCTTAAGAAGATAGTGATGATGGTATTTTTGATGTGATATCAAAACTTTGAGTGTCATGCATGTAAATATGAATGTTTAGATGTCAGATATATAAATGCATAAGAATTGTGTAGTATATATGCAAATGCTCCTTAATATTATTATAGTGATTAGCCTTGAACATTTTGGGATGTGCTTCAAAATTTGTGGCAATATAGAATAAATTTATATTTAAACTAACACAAATGTTTTGCATACACAAAGTTACAGAGGGATTTACATGAGAAATTTGAGCGGAAAAAACAATGACAACTTGCTTATAATAGATTCACTAGTTTTGATTTAAAATTAGCAAAATTCTTTTATTTCTCATCCTTGTAGAATGTGAGAATATGTAGTTACTAGGACCATTGAAAACTACTTTCATATGTGTTGATGTTGATGAAGAAGAAATAACACCGATCAATGATTGTCGGTGAAATGTGATGATTGGTTTCAGAATGAGAATTTCAGTTAGTAGGTGTTGATCAAGAAATATCAGTCAATAATAAAGGGAAATGACTAGTGTCAAATATGTTGAACCCAGATCTGTCCGTGAATCACAACCAATGAATAAGGCGTAAAAGTATATATATATATATATATATATATATATAGAGAGAGAGTGAGAGAGAGAGAGAGAGAGAGAGAGCGAGCGAGAGAGAGAAAGAGAGGAGTCTTAAGTGTACAACATTAGTAATTTATCTATGTTTCTTTTGACCTTACTTTTGTGAGGGTCCACTCGCTCACCTGTACATAACCCCTAGACTAGGGTTATGCCCTCTTAGGCCTCATCAGGACAAGCCCAAACTCTCAACCCCTGGTTGAGTTGGTTTAAGGTTTTGGCTTGGTAGTAGATCCAAGCCACCCCTCCCTATAGGTAAGACATACCCTGGGTCCCAAAACCCTATAAATCCTTCCTATGAACCCTAGGGACCACCATCATACCTAAATTCACAATAGGAAGGGGGTCTACCTAAATTGATCCCTGACCTCATCTAAGGCTTGATGGCAACATGGGTGGTCAAGGAAAATTGGGCTTAAACCCAATTTTGATCAATTCTTGACCAATTGACCCCATTTCCATACAATTTGGCCCTACCTAAAGTGGTCAAGACACCAAACCACTTGGGGGCCAAAATTGGCATCATGAGGTCAACTTCCCCAAATCACCTAATTATTTAATTAGGTAAATTGTGAGATTTCATTAAGGCTTGTACCTTTGGACTAAGCCCAAGTATATTAGGTTAGCCCAAAATCCAAAAACCCAAAACCTAAGTCCATGGCCCATTCTACATGGGTCACCCATAACCCAACCATGACCCATCATGGTGCATGGGTGACATAGAAAAATTTAGAATAATTTAACCTAGGTCCAAGCACTAAATGACAAACCAAGCACTTTTCACCATGGAAGGGGACACATGGAACCCTAGTCATGGCTTTTTTAACCAACACCTGGGGATCTAAACCAGACCTTAGGGAACTAAGATAGGCCAAATTTGGTCTTAAGCACCCACCAAGAGGTCTCCCCAATCAAGCTAAGCTCATTCCCATGACACCTCCACTTCCATTGACACAACCATGGCCAAGACATTGAGAAATGAAAAAGTATTCTCCCCACACCCAAAAGTACCTGAAATCCCTCTGAAAATCCTTTGAGGAGCCACTTGAGCTTCCACATGCCCGACCAAGCTCCACTCCAAGCTGTCATGATTATAAATAACCCATACCAAGAGCTTCCATACACAATCAAAACTCCTCACAGGGCCACATAGCCCTCTTTCTCCCAATAGCAAAAGTGCTCCGTCTGACGTAGGAAATTGATCCCCACCATCTTCAAGCCCTCCTCTCCATCACCTCGCCCAAATTTTGCCACTGTAATCTAGAGCAATTTTTGGTCCTGACATCAACTTGTTAAAAACTTCACCTAGCCTTAAGACACTATCCCTAATCGAAATTGAGCCTTCCCATAGCCTCTAACTCATTACAACACCAAACCATGGAACCCTTTGGTTTATGTCCTACTTAGGCCCATACACACTCCAAATTGAAGCAAGGGGTAGGTTTGTGACACTAAGGCGAAGCTCTCTGTCAAGCCCAATTGAGGCCTCACCTCTTGTGGCAAGGTATGGATCAAAATCCCTAACATTTTCCCTTGGTTTGGTCTTTTATAAGGAAAACCAGTAATGCATGTCCACCTAGCCATATAAATATCTTCATCTCGACTAGGTGAACGTTTAGGAGCAAACTCCAAGTGATTTGGTTGAGAGTAGAGAGAGACCTTAAGGTTTGATCATGGACGGTTCTCGGTTCATTGTTCTGTGGGGACGATGAACCGATATTGTCTATTTCCATGTATTAAAAATGAACGATACCGATTGAGTCGAACCACAGAACAACAAGAGGGGGAGCACCTGACCTGACCCACAATTACACAGTAATTTAACTTCTAAAAGATGACAAAAAACTTAACCCAATTTATATTTAGCGGCTAGCGTGCAAGATCGATATGTTATAAAATTTAGAATTTTTTATTAATAGTTTACACATTAAGAGTGCCACGTAAGTATATTTATCGTTTTAAGTAATATAGTGCTTTCTTTTAGTGCTTTCTTTAAAAACCTCAAAACCTCAATATCGATCCCACAAAGAAGCAAGGTAAGAAATCCCTTAGGCTAATTTTAGTCTACTACTATCAGGCCTTAGTTTAGATTGTCGATTAAAGTGGTCTTTTTTAATAACTATTCCTAAATGAAAATCTTAAATCTAAAGATAATTTATCTGGATAAATTAATTAGATAAATTAGTTTGGAGAATTTTGAGATGTTAAAGACTACCCTTCTCGTGCAATGACCTAGATAATGTGTAGGAATGAAATAATTAAAATATAATGTTGTCAGTGACAAATAGGAGCATACCTATTCCTTACCCTATCTCGAGTCTATAAAGAATATTAACTAATCTAAAGTTAGTTCCAGCTTGTGTGGTTAGGTTGGGAAGATAATCGCTCTCACTCTAGGGTTCCACTATCCCTCCACCTGGAGGCTAATCAGGGACCCTTAGTTCCAACATTAGCCCAAATTGGTAAAGGATCTAGCTTTTCACCCTAGAAACATCAATTATACACCCATAAAAACTTATCTTCCTTTTTATTTGCACTTCCCCTTGGATGATTGTGATGGTTCTATCCAAAGTTAAGTGTGGTACCCACTAGTTGGGTGAAATCATAGCCCTTCCAGGTCACTATATTTTGCAACAGATTTTAACATTACAAGTGATCAGTTTGTAAAGTAAATTAAGAGCTGGTGAAAATACCATCACATTAATGAAATAAGAGAAGATCTGAACAAATCTAAATTCCTAAACATTACTTCTATTTCATTGTAAAAGAAAAGTAAAATGAAGATAATTGCATAAGCAGTATAAGAATTGATAAAATTATATAATAAATTATGTACCAACAAGGAACATATGTCTACCTACCCTCTTCTGAGTGTATATGTATGCTTAGTATTCTATTAATTTTTTTCATCTATCTGTCACCTAGAAACATCAAATAGAAACATATCATTAAATAATATTTTCTTAAAAGTTTCATTATCGTCTAAACAAGTTTACTAGCCAACCGGTCAATGTGAGTGCACTCAAGTTGCAAGATCACTGCTCTCCCGTCTTAGGTTCACTTACAACAAATTTTAAAATAACCTATTATCATTTAAGTTATGTCAATGAAGCAAAGGAGATATTACTCATCACATGAAAATAAGAATTATTCTATTATAAAATAAATTTTCCTACACATGCCACTACTTCATATTAAAAGATAAGAGTAAGGAAAACTACTCATAAAGCATTGATAAAACAAAAGATAAAACTTTATTAAATCAAATAAAATCCACTAGATAGTGCTTACAACAATTACAAGATAATGAAGAATATAATACTTAGATTTTTCCTGTAAAAGAAAGATAAAAATCTCTCCAACAAAGTTTCCTCCCAATCCATGTTCCGCTCATAAAATTCCTTTACACATATCTCTCAATATCCCTCACCAATCTCTCCAGACATAGTGGAGATCTACATCTCCATCTCCTCTCTACACTCATGCTAAAACTCTCTCCAAAATCCCCCCTCTCTAGACTCTCATGAGAGGCTCCAAGCCCCTCCTTTTAAAGAGACACCAAACACCTCCTTTTTCCAAGGACAAACCTCTTCACTAGAAGAGCACTCTTTCATCCCAAGAGACACACCTCTAGCCTTTCGAAGTGTCTAGATTCATTGAACTACTATAGGGCGTGCAGGTTGCTTGGAATCTTCCAGAACATCCCAGAATAGCCTGAAATTGCACAGAAACCTCCCCTTAACCGTTTCTGGCACCTAGGCACCATCTTCTCTGTTATTTGGGGCCTAAGTGCCACCCTGTAGGCAACTCCACCGTTTCTCCTATTTTGCTCTGTTTCAGCTCCGTTTTGCCCCATTTTAGCTCCATTTTGCTCAAAATTGTTATACCTTGCTTCAGATTGGTATACCTACAAGATAACCATGAAAATAACATTTCTT